TTGTTATAGCATATTTCCAAGTCATAGGAGTCTAATGATGTTGATGATGACTTGGATGGAAGTTCTTCTGAAGGGTCGCTTGCCATTTTAAGCTCGGTTCTCACAGCTGCAAAGGATTTAATAGTTTGCCATATACGTTTGGTCTGACCGTCATTATCTTGGTCCTTCGCGTAATTGGACTTAACCACCCGTCCACTTACATCATTCTCCTCTAAAAATGGCACACAGAAGGTGGAGGACATAATAATTTTAGAGGCGGTGGCTGCTTGTATATTTCAAATATAGCATTTTTGCAATAAACAATGTTAAAATAAAAGAACCTTATTTTTAATTCTTAGAAATAAAATTCAAATGTGTTAATGTTATTATAATTAATAAAATTATCATTGCTATAAGATCATATAATTTTATGTTCCTATGAGACCGTGAAATCATGTGATCATATACTAACATTTGAATTAAAGATGGGCATTTCATGATGTGTCACAGTGTTATCCAAAAGATTTTTAAGAACTAGTCATATTTTTTGTTTTTACTTATCATTTGATACCTCACCGTAATGCCAGATTCTATGAGAATTGATGTTGGACAATGTGTTATGTTGAGTAGTTCAATAAGTCACCATGTTCCTCTCCAATATTTTTGCTCCTGTCTATCATTAATAGTTAAAATCAATTTGATCTTTTCTAAAACAAAACCACGCAGGGTTTTTTGAGTTGGAAGTTTTCCTATTTTTTGTTCATATTTATTTGCTAGTATTATGAGTAACGATAGATATGCTCTCCCAAGTTCATATAACAATTTTAGTATTTTCTCTTTCAATTGAGCCTTTGTTTAATTAAGTTGACCATACTGCAAAGACCACACTTTAAAATAGTTTTCCAAAGATTCGATATAACAAAAAAATTAATCTTTTTAAATTAAAACTATAAAGAAACAAATTTTTAATTTATATTTATAAATAAAAAGATGCGTTTTTTAGTAATCGAATATTACCTTTATTTTCATTATTGACAGCCATAGGATGATGATCTCCAGTCGCAATATATTTGCAATTATCAAGATTAATTTGGATTTTGGTTTTCTTCTAAAGCACCAATATCCATATCTAGTGCTGCCAAAACTATAAACAAACTAAATTGAAGCCACCACTCTAAATATTATATATTAAGTCATGTAGTGATATCAACATGTGAGATCTGAGTATTCTTAAAGAAATTGGTCTGAATTTATTATGCAAAAAAATAAATTCAGTTCTGAACTTTATTGTATAATTAGAATTGAATTTATAAAATTATTTAGTTGCTTAATTAGGATTGTGTAAGATAATAGAACTGAGCACATTTTAGTACGTGTACTAAGCCTCAAAATGCTGCGTGATAATGCACATTTGCAAAAAATCTGTTGTAAAAATTTTTTTGAATCAAAAAGTTCTCAATTAAATTTTGATATGGTATTATTTATATTTATGCATATGAACTAAATAACCTCTATATCATTCTAATATGTGTGCTAAGCCTTAAAAATGCTGCGAGAATATGCCTTTGCATTGAGATAATATCAAATTTTTTAATTTTTAAAAAGAATTATTTAAGAAGGAAGATCAAATTTGGTAATACAGTAAAGAATCATAAAGAACAAAGTGCGTTCTAATACACATGCTAAGCCTCAAAATACTGCGCGATAATGCACTTTTGCAAAAAATCAGGTCTCGAGCTGTAAAAATTTTTTTGTATCAAAAAAGATTTTTGCTCTTAAATTCTTTTTAGAATTAAAGATTATTTATGCATTAAAAGAGCTGTGCAGAAGTTGAAAGTATTTAAATTATGATAAAAATATTACTGGGAATCTAATTTGCAAAATGGATATCTTTTTCACTATTTTTATCCTCAAAGCTTTTATTCATATTTTTCATATTTTTGCTCCTTTTGCTCTTATTTTTTTTAATTTTTATAATGCCTCTAATGCCAAAGAAAGCAATGCTGCTGATAACGATGATTCAATGTTGGTTATTAAAATGGATGATGATGAAGAAGAGTCAAATAAATCAAAAAATAGACCGAAGAAGACTATCATCAATATTAAGATTCAACAGAATGATAAATTGAATGAAGAAAATGCACGACTCAAGAAAAAAATTAACAAAAAAAATTGAACCATTAAACGAAGCAGAAAAGAAATTTTGGACCTTCAACAAAAAGTTAGACAATTACTCCTTAAACAAAATTGTAACCGAAATATACTCCTTAAACAAACAATTAGATATGAATATTTGCTTCTAAATCAAGAAAATAAAAAAGATAAAGTCGCAAAAACAGTTGATCAAGTAAACTCAGAACTTTCAAGCTGTATCATAAGGAATCAAACTTTAAAAGAAAGAAGAATTTTGGCAAATATAGAGATAAAAAGACTTTTAGGCATATTGAAATCAATCAATCCATTATTAGTCAATGAATGGAATCACTACTTTAAAAATTACAGCAGCATTGAAAGTATTGAATTTAAAATAGTAAGCTTTACAAATTATATATATTACCAGTTATCAATTCAAAAACAAAACTCAATGTAACTTGTAAATTGAAATTCTTGTAATATGGGCTATCATCAATAAAAATCAGGTGATTAACATTTTAAAAAAAAATTAATGCCTTATCTTTCACAGCTAATATCTTGCTGAATTTCGAAGCTATTAATATCATTTAATAGATAAAGGAAAGCTAAAGATCTGAGCTTTCTTTTATCAATTAAATGATGACAATAGCTTCAAAATTCAACAAAATATTAGCTATGAAAGTTAAGGTACTGATTTTTTTTAAAAAAATGATAATCTACCTGATTTTTTAAACAAATGTATATATAGCTCAAAATGCACGATTTTTCAAAATAAATATTATTATTATTATTATTAAACAAATGTATCGTAGCTCAAAATGTGATTCAATAATTCCAAATCTAAATTACCTGAATATGATTTTAAAAAACCTATTTTTTTTTGTTTATACTCATCATAAAAATTGTCTAATGATGTTTAGAATGTAATTTTGCAACAATAGTTAAGGTCTACAATTTGATAGAGAATTCTAAAGAGGCAAGGCTAAATTTTGAATCTCTATTTGTAAACATAGACTTACTATGTTATTTTATTATTATTTATTTTATTATTATAGTATATGAAAATATACCAGTAAGTAAAAAATCTAATATTGTAAATCATAAGATATTCATATGATTGGTTAATTTCTGTAGGATTTCCTGTGATAATTAACCAATCAAAATACATAATTTTTTAAAGGGTTTATCGTTTTAGAAAACGAAAAAAACTCCACATAAAGAAAGTTACAAATCAATAAATACACGTCAAAGAATTTATTACATAAGTTTAGAGAATAGATAGATCCATGTAAAGTAGGTAAATACGATATTTATTACCAATAAACCCAAACTTATTAAAGAATTTACAAGATACATATAAACTGAAACTTTGCATTGATAAATTCAAATATACAACAAGAACCAACAAAATTTCAATACTAAACAAAACCATTTTTAGTAACCTTCACTTTGCGGTATAATTGATTACCTTTTATTGATTGTTTGCTTTGAAAAATGCAATAATATACATAGTCACTTCGCTTTTAAGTAAAGTCAACTGCTTTTTAGATTATTTTTAGATTATTTCGTAAAAAAATTTTTTTCATAAGTACAATAGTGAAACATTACAATCTGAAAAAATACTTTAAACTGTATAAATTAGTTACCCAGGCAATTGATTTGAATTAGCCAATCAGACGAAAGTTCTTCTATAAGCTTTTAAAGTGTACCTTGCATATCGTTTTTATCTAATAATAAGATAAATCTGTATTATTTATCAGCTAATTTCTAACTATGTTTTATGTATATATACTACGTATATCTGTATTGTAAATCCTAACTAAATGCATATGATTCTTAGTAAATTGTGTGATACCATATTAAAATATGTTATGTATTCTTTTATACAGTAGATATTTTAATCAGTATAGGACGCCGCTAATTTTATTAGTAAATACAAAAATACCAGATTTTGTATATATAAATCGAAGCAAGCATAAATATAAATGTCTGTACTGAATGTACTAATATCAAAATCACAAAAATCACTGATATTATATTTCAAATAATGCGCAGTGAGTATATTCAAATAACTTAGCATAATAATGAAATATTGACCAATAGCTATTTACTCTAGACCAATATGAACAAGGATGGGGTTCCAAACTGAAAAATCCTCCCTTCCATGGGGTGTAGAAGCGAGCAAGTGTAAATGATGCTCAGTAGACAAGAAATATTGTTATTGTGCTCTATAACTGACTGGGATTAGAATAAAGTTGAATATGAATATTATAAGTGGTGCAAATAGTATCAAAAAACTAATCATAATACGAAGGATTGTTGGTTTTCTCCAAAATTTTCTGAAATCATGAGTTATGAGCTGAAATTGCCTGAAGTCACGAGCCAAGAATGGAAAAAAAAGATCAAGTGTTCAAATTGTTTGATAAGATGTAAAGCTGTTTATCACAATAGGAAAAAGAATGTCCCCAAACTTATTCATGGGATAACAATTAGGCAAAAGATGTTGAGGAAATTGATTTTTAATTTGTAATTATTTGAAAAAATTTTTAATATGTTTCAAGCAGCTTTAAATCTCCAATCACGTGATTTTGTTCACTTTTTCATTATCTTATAGTAATATTAACAGAATAATCGAAAGTAGACCGTCAATAAATAAATCGGAAGTAGACCATCAATTAACCTAAAAGACGAGCATGTTCTAAAAATAATTGTAAAATATGTCTGGTTAATTCCTATACTAATAAATTTTTATGAAATTTATATATTACATGGTCTGAAGCGATGATTTAATTGGTCAAAAGAAAAAACATATACCTGATACATTCACTTTTTTACAATTTTATAATAAAATAGCCAAAGTTTAAAAGGCTACTGCTCTATCAATTTAGCTTGAAATTCACAAGTTTTGTTCTTAAGAACAAGAAGAACAAATCTTGTAGATTATTTTTATGATTCATAAATTTTTAAAAGAGGAGTAGCATTTTCTGTAAAGCCAATTTTTATAGAGATTTAAAGCCACTCGCACTATAACAAATTTGTTATAATAAAATTTATTCTAAATACTTAAATGTAAAAGGCTTCACTTAGAAAAATATAATATAATTCCTTATAATTGTTGTGTAGCATTTGTATATTGCAACATTCAGGTTTATAAAATAAATTTATGAAATTATCAAGTATAAATTTATATTAAGAAAAAAACTCTAGTAAATCATATGCATTGAAATACTATCTCTCTTTATAAACCTGAATTCTTAAGATATTGTATACTAAAAAAACAAGTTTGAAGAGTTTAGTTTAAAAAAATTGTATTTATTAAAAACACAAGAAACTCTAGTAAATCATACGCATTGAAACACTATCTCTCTTTATAAACCTGAATTCTTAAGATACTGTATACTAAAAAAACAAGTTTGAAGAGTTTAGTTTAAAGAAATCATATTTATTAAAAACAAATCAAAGGCTGTGCTAACAAAAATATGCTTATCAGCAAAAAAAAAGACATAAAAGTACTAAAAAAATTTTAAACCTTTTTAACTATGTTTTGACACATTAAAATATCATTACAACAGTATAATGCCTTCTCGTCATCAGAATCTTAGACCTTTTGTGAATATCATTACAACAGTATAATGCCTTCTCGTCAAGCACAAAGAAGGTTAATTTAAATTAATTGCTTAATAAATACAATTAGTTCATATCTAATACTATTTGACATAAATTCTAGAGAAATCTGTTTTCTTGTACAGCAAATATGTACAATTGATAACAATATTTATATTTTACAAAGTCAATTCTACTATTGTATTTTGTCACGAAGATGTTTTCGTTACTATTATTATATTATATTATACTAACACGCAGGTGCCAAATCTATTTTAATTTGTTATTACGTTTATTACATAGAAATTACTGCTTCTATATTTTGCAAAGAAGTTTATTTGTATAAATTTTTAAAAAAATGTTTCATTTTCATAGTAGTTAACATTAATATAGTAATAACAATAATGCTTTTATTAAGTAAAATTACGTGATTACTGATGCATGATATTTAAATACATCATATGATATTAGTGTTAAAAAATTAAATTTTAACTTAAAAATATCAAAATTAATCTTAAAGCTATCCTGCTTTAGCACTTCAATTTATTTCTTGTATTGTATTAATGATATTAACGAATAATTAAAGATTTGGTTTTTTATAAATTCACAATTATCAATAATTAATAAACCATACATCATATTCTACAAAATAA